AGGTGAGCAAAAGCCAAATTAAAAAAAATAAATATCCAAATATTAAAACTGAAATAAACATATATACAAAATAATCCGCTAATTTTGTCAGGGAAACATTTGGTTATAGTTTGCTTTGTGTAAAAATAAATAAGTAAATCCTTTGCAAAACAACTGTTCAAAGTTATTGCTGGACTGAAAAAAATTTTACAAAACAAATACTGAAACAATTGAACTGTTAATTTAACACTTGAGTACAGTAGACTCCCAGGCCTTTACTTCTTTCTAACTTCTAGTTGTTTGGCTTTCTTCAGTGTGGCAATTTTTTTGCTCTTTGATTTTTCCAGTGACATAGGAATTCCTGACAAGAGCCTGGGAGCCTGGCTGACTAGTGTGTGCCTATCTCTTAATTGTTTCCTGCCCTCCAAATGAGGCCAGAGACTTGGGGCTGGGGGAAGGGAAATTGGAAAAAGGTAGAAACCTCACACTACTAAGGTCTTATTATTGGGGCAAGGAAAAAAACCCTGATCCTTCCCTTAAGAATTCGTGGATGTTTTTTTAATTTACTGGTAAAGAGCTAAAACTTCATGTTTTTTCTTGTGAGAGCTGGGATTCTCATGTAATTCTAGGAATTCTGGATCTGAGTTGTCAGGAATAACATTGAATATGGAAAAATTTAAACCAGTAGTGTTACGAGCTCCAGAGACCCTTGATGTTTCCCCTACTGCTCTTAAAAACAAGATGTGGTAATATCAGAATTTAACCTCTCAAGTTGTCCTTCACCCAAAGAAATTTTTCTAGTTGCAGACAGAGGTTGAAAAAACATAACCTGAGTACATACAAAGTTCTTAATTTCCGAAGGACAAATTTGACAGACCACCTATGTTACTTTATAGCTAATAATTTCAGGGTGAAACTTATGTTTTCTGAATGTCCACAATGGACAATATAGAAGCTCTTGAAAGCTGGTAGTTCCTTAATATTTGCCAACATTAGGCTCCTGAGAGGAAGGCTTCCCTGGAGTTAAAATGCATATCCTAGAAAACTGCTTCTGAAACCCAGCTAATGCCATAGTTACTGCTATATTTGTATTATCTGTACTTACAAGATTTGCAAGTTATTGCTGAGCATGGTGTCCATCTTATGAGAGCCAAACAGATGGAAGATCCATGTTGTACTCTGTTAAAGAGTGAAGTGCAGTGAAGGAGCTCCAAGGGGTCTGATGACACCCAGGGAGAGCTGTGGAGGAGCCAACAGTGTCCTGGGTGTTGCAGGACAGCAGCATGTGTTTATAAAAAAAGGGCAGTCCACCAAAATAAACCCAAACAGTGATGTATGAAAGCATCACCCCCTTCCCTGAATTGTGAGTTCTGCTCTGACCTCTTCATGTAGCATCTGTCCTTACAGGAGAGTGGCATACTGCAGTACTGCAATAAAGATATGGGGTTGGTGAGTCTGTGTGGTGGAAGTGCAGTGCTGCAGTACTCACTGTGGCTCAGGCATGTGACAGCTGTGTTAGCATTGCTGTCCCCAGGCCACCTGGCCCCTGGCAAGGTGGGGTGCTGTGCCAGTACAGATGGGGTCCCCTGGGGCTCAGGCAGGTACCTCCAGCACCAGCATGGGGGCTTTGCTTAACCTATGGAGGGCTAGGCATGTATAGCATGGGAGTTTAAACCACCAACCATCTATTCCCAGAATGAGGCTTTCACAGAATCATTTAGGTTGGAAAAAACCTCTGAGATCATTGAGTCCAGCCTTTGACCGAGCACCACCTTGTCAACTAGACCATGACACCTCCCTGGGCAGCCCATTCCAATGTCTAATCACTTTTTCTGTGAAGAAATTCTTCTTAATGCTCCACCTAAACCTCCCCTGATGTAACTTAAGACTATGTCCTGTCATCCTACTGTTGGTTGCCTGGGAGAAGAGGCTGACCCCCACCTGGCTACAGCCTTCTTTCAGGTAGTTGAAGAGACTGATAGCATCACTCCTGAGCCTCCTCTTCTCCAGGTTGACCAACCCCAGCTTCCTCAGCCACTCCTCATCAGACCTGTGCTCCAGACACATCACCAATGACATTGCCTTTCTCTGGACTTCTTCCTATGTTTGTCATGCTCTGGCTGTTCCTCTTAAGTAAATCAGAGATGTAAACATGGCACTTGAACTTGCTAAAGGCTATGGCCAAGTTTGCATGTGCCACAGAAAGAGCAGAGGGAAGATACGAACCTGTCACAATGTTACTGTTACTCTTCCTAAATCTGTTCTCTGTTCCTGTGGAATTGGCAGGTGGGGTGAAGCACCTCCAAACCAAACGCGTTAATTGCAATGAGTTTGACTTTGCACTTCTCTTTACTGATTCATCACAAGCCGTTCTTATGGGGTCTGTAAGCTTCCTGCAGCAGGGTTTGTGTGCATACAGTACCTGGCCCCAGGAGGTCTCCTCCCACTGGAACTACTGGCCATTGCTATAATGTAAGAGTAAAGAGAAATAGCAATCAAAGCATCAGCAATAAAAGAATAAATTAGATTAACTGCAATAAAGTACTTTCATGGATGCTCAGTGATATTTTACTGGGCTCCCAGGAGTTGCATATCCTCCAAGTCCATGAAATATGTGAGAGTAAATATTAACATTTTGGTGAACACTGACATACTTGACAGTTTCAAATGACCAGGATCTATTTTATAATTCTCGTGAATTTCAAATAATTTCCTTTGAGCTGTTTACAGTTGAAGGAGGGAGGGAGGAGGAGGGCAGGGAGGCAATGTCCGTCTGGGCTGTCAGTGCAGCACCTCGCGGGAGCGCGCTGGGCAGCGGCCGCCAGGCGGCGCCACCGGCGCGGGCCGTTGCGGGCTGCCCGCCGACAGAGGGCGCTCGATACCGCTGCTGCCGGAGCGCGGCACCGGCCTCAGCCCGGCTGCGGGACAGTGCCGGCTGCGGGACAGTGCCGGCTGAGGGACAGTGCCGGCTGAGGGACAGTGCCAGCTGAGGGACAGCGCCGGCTGCGGGACAGCGCCGGCTGCGGGACAGTGCCGGCTGACGGACAGCGCCGGCTGAGGGACAGTGCCGGCTGAGGGACAGTGCCAGCTGCGGGACACCGCCGGCTGCGGGACAGCGCCGGCTGCGGGACAGTGCCGGCTGCGGGACAGCGCCGGCTGCGGGACAGTGCCGGCTGAGGGACAGTGCCGGCTGAGGGACAATGCCAGCTGAGGGACAGTGCCAGCTGAGGGACAGTGCCGGCTGCGGGACAGTGCCGGCTGCGGGACAGTGCCGGCTGAGGGACAATGCCAGCTGAGGGACAGTGCCAGCTGAGGGACAGTGCCGGCTGAGGGACAGTGCCGGCTGCGGGACAGTGCCGGCTGAGGGACAATGCCAGCTGAGGGACAGTGCCAGCTGAGGGACAGTGCCGGCTGAGGGACAGTGCCGGCTGCGGGACAGTGCCGGCTGCGGGGCAAGGGCGGAGTTGCGGCGGGGCTGCGCGCAGCCCTCTGGTCTCCTGGCGGTGTGCTCCGGAGCGGTCCGCGCTGGTTTTCATGCTGCTCCGCTGCCGCTGTGGCAGGGACGTGTTTGTGTGTGTGATGGCGCTCACGGGGCTGCCTGCCCCAGTGCCCGCCCGGCCCCACACCCCTCCGCCGTCGGGCAGCACGGAAGTGTCGGGGGTCTCGCAGTGAGTTTGGTTTGGGTACGACCGAATTGAGGCGGGTGTGTCAGATGCGCTAAAGACCGGTTTGGTGATGGGTACGGCTGGGGGCTGGGTCCTTGTTATAGTCATGGAATTATCGCAGGACGGTTTGAGCTTTAAAGGCCCTTAATCCAACCCCAGCAATGGGCAGGGACAACTTCAACTACACCTGGTTGCTCCGAGTCCTGTCCAGCCTTGCACTGAATGCCGTCAGGGATGGGGTGTCTGCACCTGTTTGGGGTGTTCTATAAGTGCCCTTCCTCTGAGAGTCTTGTTCCTCAGGACGAGACCGTGGCCAGTTTGTCCACCGCTGGCACAGCCGCTGCTATGGGCCATGGCTGGACTCGACTCCGCAGCTCCCGGGCTGCCACAGACAAAAGAGTGAGACCGAGAGGAGGCTGGGAGAGAGACCTGCCCTGCTGCTCCGCAGCTTCTAGGGGCCTGATCCTGCTTCCACGAGAGTCCCAGAGAGTTTCTGTACCGACTTTGGCGGGGGATTGGCTCCAGTCCCACATCAGATAATCTTCTGAAGTGAGCTGTGGCTGGGCATGGCTGGGCTATAAGGCATCTGCATTTCCTCTTTCCCGTTGTGGGGTGAATGGAACAATTAGTATTTGTGCATTAAACCCTTCTGAAATAAAATCTCATGACTGCCATCTCTCTGTTTGCTATATTTGAACTGGCTGGAGGATTGTTTAAATATATCTCATGGACAGTTTACAACATGAATTATTTCCTGCCTTTGAAAAGCCATGGTTTTAAGATATCTGGCAAGTTTATTACAATGAAATGTCGCATTCTTCAAACAAGTAATCAAAAGAACAATTTTTAGCAAAGACTGGTTTCCAGCATTCACCATTCAGAAATGTTGCGGAGTGTGATCTTGGTTTAAATAAAATAAATAGAAAAAGCCTGCATGTTTGATCTTCCCAGAATTCCTGGGTGTTCCATGCAGGATTCCTACTATCTAGCTGATGTTCTAAGGGTTTTTTTCCCTTAGTAACCCTGCACTTGTGACCAGGCTACTACCCCAAGCTGCTCTCAGTTGGGTATTTAAGGCAGCTGTTGTGAATGTCCCCTATAAAAATGTCCAGGTCCTCTCACTTTGTAGCATATAAAATGGTTACACTGAAGACTGTGTAATATGTCTCAAAATGTTGGGGGGTGGGGTAGCAAGAATGGGTTAAACGCACTTTAAAAAGTACATTTAGAATTGTGGTCCCATGTGGTGGTCGTATAAAATTTTAAGTATTGTTTTTTTCTGTGAATGAAAACATTTTTGGTGTTTTAATTTGTTCTCATCTTTTTTTTTTCTTTTTTTTTTTCTTCCCTACTCAGCTCTTGCCCCTGTTCTTTGCCTCTGGTTTTGTTGGTGAGGATATCACAGTGATGTCTGCATTCAACCTGCTGCATTTGGTGACAAAGAGCCAGCCAGTGGCCCTGCGAGCCTGTGGGCTTCCCTCAGGTTGAATGGGTGCTGCTTGTTGTGTCATGCATAATAAAGGCCCTTATAGGAAGGGGTGTCTCTGCTGCAGGAAACAATGTGCTATGGGTTGTTCTGTTTAAATTTTCCTTTGAAGTAGAAGTTTATTTGCACTTTTTTTTTTTGTAAAAGTCACTGAGTTGAGTGAGCAATTTTATATCCGAGATTTTAAAAATCTTGGAAATGCTGACTTCTTTGTCAAAATACAGTCTCTTAAATTTTGTATTTTTTTCCCTCATTCTTGGCAAAATATGTGTCATTAAACTGAAAATATTTTATTTAATGCCATTCCTAATTTTAAAAGAAATATCTAAAAGAATTTCACATGTTGATTGCTATTAAATCATGGGACTTAAAAATATTTTCCAAAATATTTAGCAGTACACTTTAGTTATACTCCATGTGTTTATTTTCACATTTTTATTATAAATCAAGTATGTTATATTGAAAATCATGTACAAAAAGCATGCAGAATTTAAAACTTAATTCTTTCATTCCTCTGACAGCACATTCCTTAATTATGTGACACTTCTCTACATAACTAAGTGGAAATATGCAATTTAATGCCCACATGCAGCTGCACTTTTCATGTAAGGCCCAGGTTTGATCATTCAGTCTGGGAAGGGTACAATAAGACCCCCATCTCCATGAACTGATTTTATCATGAAAACCTTCAACCTAAGTATTTTTTGTTTCACTTAAAAGGCAACAGTCTGTAATGTCAGCGTAAAAATGTCAGTATACAGGGTTATGTGAGAGAAAATATAAGCTGTACTGAGTTAATTTTGAACATTACTAGAAATTTTCATGTCACCCGAATAAATAAGATACAGTCCTGGCTGATCTGTGTTAAGCCTCAAAAATGGGCCAGCTTGGGTGTTTGTGCTACACTCACAACTGGTACATAAGAGTGCAGAATGTGACAAGCAGTTTCTCCCAGACCTGGACTTAGCAAGCGTATGGAGGTGATGTTTTTAAGATTTTTTTTTTTCAGTGACATCAGTTTTCAAGCTGATGGATTTTCCTAAAGCTTATTAGACTTTATTTGAACTAAATCTGAGTCCAATTTTTGCAGCATTTACGTTCCATTTCCCCCACATGTGCGCAAAACTCCCATTAACCTTGATAGGAACTGCAAACACATATTGAGGAAGAGAGAGAATAACCCACATTGTGTCAGCTTGACCTTGGTTTCCTGTTATATTTGCTCCTGAGCCAGATTTAAAATCCTAAAAATACAGGGTAAGCAAATTTCCTTAGCCCTCATTATGTACCTTTTGATGTGTGCTCATATTGCTTTTGTCTACCTGAACATGGGGACACTCAGTCTTCTGGCCATTTTGTTTCCACTCTGAAAAGGAGCTGATCAGCTAGAAACACACAGATCCCACAGGAGATTTTGCTGCTCTGTACCTGCTTCCAAAGCACTGCAGTAGCTGTTTTATCAAGTTGTTTTTCTGTCATAATCCAGTAGTCACATTTTGGAATACAAAGTTAACACTACTGTTAATTCCCATCCCTTAGATCCCTAACTGTGGGACCATTAGTAGATTGAGTTCTAATGACTGACTACTTTATAGAGATATATTTGGAGAGATATTTATATCTAATAAGCCCAAATTCATCTGCTAACAGTGGAATCATATACAAGCACATATTTTAAGAGTAATTTAAATTCCCCAGATGCTTAAAAATTAATATAGGCTTGCTTTGCCTTTGGTTTGTTTTTTTTTTTTTTTTTTTTTTTGTCTGTGGTGTATTTAAGGGGTTTCAAGTAAATGGCATAGCATGTATCCAATAAAACATGGGAAGGAAATGTCGAACCAACATCTGCTTAAATGCCACAATGCCCTGTGACTTTGGCTTCTGAATACACAGAAAACACCCAAGTTCTCCTGAGTTTTTATAGCATAACACTGATCTAGTACTTTTCCCACTATCCAGTTCTGTGTAAATTGCAGTCCTGTAACCATACCACCATGCCATGTGTCCACCAAGTCTGGGACCATGTGGAGCTTGGCCACCTTTTAATTCAGTGGCAAATTCAATATGGAATGAGACTTTTTATCCTTCTGGAACCCATGCTCAGAGTAAGGAAGCAAAGTGCCATCAGAGCAGTAAACTGGGCTTTCAAACAATGTTTTAAACACTATGCAGTTAAATATTTGCTGGAAAAGGACTTGAATGAAAGTCTTGTTTCAATTTCTATGTTTGGAATGGTACCTCTATCCTTCCTGTAAGGAACAAAGTAACACAAGGCAATATATAATTTATATTCAATGTATAGTTGTAGATCCGAAACAAGAGTGGTTTTTTTCGAATCTCCCTCCCCATTAAATTAATTAAATACTATTGGAATGCATCTTAGAATAGAGATGACCTGTCCCTTCTTTGAGCTACTATTTTGTAAGCACTTGTGAGATTCACTTGTACTAGTGAAGTGTTTTTACTTGTTCTTTTTCTGTTTATATATTAGCACCTGAAGTGTGGATCTGTTCTTCCAAATTGTATTTTTAAAATATTTTTTTTGTCTGAAGTTAGGACTAAACGTTTCAATGTGTGCACACCTAGTGCACTGTTTGCTCATAACATTTTTTGTAGACAAGATGGCAAGTCTGAGTAGGAGCAGGAGCTCCCAGTAGATGGCACTAGGCATTTGCTGTTCTGCACACCCAGGAATATATAAAAAGCTTCCCGTCTAGGAATCATTCATTCAGAAAGCACACCCTGAGAACTTAGGAACATTTACAAGTATTTTAAGAAAAGCAAGAATACTGAGAAAAAAGCAAAATCTTTGCCCGTATGCAAACTACCATCACATTGGTTCAGGGTTTCTTCATTGTCAGTGATGACTGCAGCTCCATTGTGTGACAGAGAAGTGTTGCTCCTTGCGCCCACTTTATTAGAGTTGAATGTTCTGATTTTCTTTGGAAATGTAGGATGCACTCAGTACCTGCCAGGATTTAATTCACAGAAATTAAGTCTTTAAAAAAAACCCCACAACAATCCCCACCAAACTTTTAGTATAAAAACTATTTCATCTGCTTTGTGCATACTAAGAAGCAACTGATACAAGTACTGATTATGCAGATTCCATGTACATATGTTTTCTGAAGCAGACCACCAAGCTATAACCTAGAAAGATAACTTATATTGCTTTGCTGTGTCTTTTAATTATTATGGGTTCTCATTTCTTAAAAAGACCCTTTATTTCTTTAACACTTTGAATGTTGTGCTGCTTACATCACATTTTTTGCATGTGATAAATTGGATTTTCCTCTCCTGTAGATCAAAGAAAATTGTGGTGCTTGTAAAATTAAGTAAAAGTAATGATGAAAAAATTATTGGGGTAGACTTAGGGTTGGGGTTTTTTTCTGTATAATAAAGTCCTAGGTAATATCAAATAGTTGTGTAGTGTTTAATTACTAAAATAACTACTAGTAGGAAACTGTACTTTTCTAGCATTAGATTAAACTACAATGCATCTGTATGAAGATGGTGTTGGGCATATGGTGTAAGTCTTTATTAAGTAAATATCTGTAGTATGGTTTCTCATTCTTTTACTAAATCTTTGTTAATTCTAAGTTCTAACATAATGTCTTTTCATAAAATTGAAATTAATAGTGAACAAAAAATTACTGGGTCTCACAACTGGATTTTTAGCAGTAATCTGTTAACATAAAGAATTACTTTTAGGAGCAGATCTTGAAAACATTTGCATACATGAATTATTTGTATGCATTTGTTCCTCCGAATTCTCAAACTGCTCATGTCAATGAAATATCTGTGTGCATACTGCTTGCCAGCTATGGCTTTAACAACTGAAAGTCTAGTAAAGACTTTAGTCTTGTGGGTTCAAAGTACAGTAGTTGCTGTCAAACTTTGTGTGACTTGAGTATGACTAAACATTTCATATTGTCTGTTTCTATGTTTAGAGATATAATTTCTATAATGTATATTGTAACTTCCCCATAGTTTTCCGTAATGTGTATCACCAGAGATGTACTACTCCAGAAGTGTGCTTACATGGTCCAAAAGAAAATAAAAGTAAGACTGATATTGTATAGCATAAACCATCCATACACCTATGGTTAAATGCCTGTCAATGTTTTCATTATACATTCATATTTTCTGGGGTTTATATCTTGAACATAAAAGTTTGCTCTGGGTTTAAGTATGCTATACAAGGTCTCAGATGAATGTATTTGTTCCTCAGAACTGGCTGGGGGGCAAAAATTAAAATTCATTTGTATCCAGCTAAATTCTAAAAAATGCAAATATCAATTTGGATCAAAAATAGATTTCTAAATTTAGAACACGGTCTTACAAATACCTAGTTTACTGCCTTCCAGCAGTTATGAGGGAGACTGTTGAAAAGAGTGGAAAATATTCACTGTGTGATCTCAATAGTAAATAGCGTGTGAAACCATTCATGTATCATTATTATATAAATGTCTGTGTATATGTTTGCCTTTTAGTCATGTGATAGTAGAACACTACATTATCATAATAGAGCATAACGTTATCATATTTTTGGCTTTAAAATGAGTTTTAAAAATTACATATAACTGTCTTAATGGGAGTACATTTGATGTTGTAGTGTGTTTACAAATGTTCCTTTTGTACAATAATAGTCAGTCTGGAATGCCTTACTTAATACATTTTAAGATGAAATTTATTAGTAGATATCTCTTTTGGTGTAGTACTCTTAAAAATGTCTAATACTTGCCAAACCTGGGATCATAAAGAAGACAAGAAGCCTTCTGTTACGTTCCTTAGAGTTTGTACTCTTTTGTTCGCTTTTTTAAAATCTTTATTCTGGTGATTTTGTACTCTTCCTCATCTGCTCAGGAGATAGATGGTGCTTGTCCCTGGCCCACCTGGGTGGAGGCTCCTCAGTGATTCTTGCACTGAGAAGCACTGGGATGATGAGACATTTCTTGTGCTCCCAGATCATGCACAAAGACAGTCCCTTAATGTGT